TTGCCGCGCCAGCCGAGCCCGATGAAGCCCACCGTCACCTCGTCCGCCGCGCTGGCAGCGAGTGTGCGTCCCGGGCGGAGGGCCAGCCCAGCGGCAGTCGTGGCGGTAACACCGAGAAAGAATCGACGAGTATGACGTCCCATAATCTGCGCCCTATAACGAGTCTTCGCCGCCCAAGAACAGGGCAGCGGCTGAATTCAACTGAGTTCCGCCATTGTAAGCGGACAGGGCCATCCGTTGCAAATATTGCGGGGGCCGATGATCGGCCGCGGCTAAGGCTCGTGATCGGACGCGTCCTGGCGCCCCACGTGCTGATGGTCGTGCAAGTGATCGGGGCAATAGCAGGCGCCTCCTGCACATTGAGAGCAGTAACGGAACGCCACGCCCGGCTCCTCTTCCGAGTTCCGCCCGCAAACCGCGCAGACGTGCCGCAGCTTGCCGGCGGGCTTCGCCTTGGCTTGGTAGGACTTGCGGCGGGCGTCCGCCCGCAGGTCGGCCACGTGCCCGGGGCCGAAGAACAGCAAGTAGTTCATCAATGACGACAGCACCAGCACCCTGGTCGGCCAGTCGCCGGTGATCACCAACACGGCGTACAAGACTGCCTGGAACAGCGCCAGCCACTTCACCTTGATCGGGATGATGAAGAACAGCAAGAATTGGAAATCCGGGTAGAGCCGTGCGAACGCAAAGAACACGGAAAGTTGCAGGAACAGGTTGGCCGCCATGTGCTGCGGCAGCGCCAACGCAGCGACTGTAGACCCCAGCCACCCGACCAGCAGATACGCGTTGTAGCGGAACGTGCCCCAACTGTTCTCCAGCGCCGTGCCCATCATGTAGAACACCCACCAGAAGATGGCCGCCCACAACAGCGGCATCGCCGGCGGGGTGAACGCGTAGGTGATCACACGCCACCACTGCCCCTGAAACACCAGATCTCGATTGAGCATCACCCGTTCGACTACGTCGGGCTGCTGGGTCATCGAGGCGAAATAAACCAACACCTGCCCCAGGATCAATGCCAGCGTGACGTGCGGCACGGCAAACCAGCCGAAGCGCCTTTCGAGTCGATCGAGTAGTCGGGGCATCCGCGCGGTGGGGTGTCGGTCGGTGGGGCTTCTGTGTGAGCTGCCTAACCTAACCGAACGCCGCGTGGGGCGGGAGCCCGGGCCTCGGCGCCCCGCCGTGGTGGCTGCCTCCCCACAGAGGCCGCCCCCCCCTATAATGCCGCTGCAATGAGCGTCATCGAAATCCGCGGATTAAAGAAGTCGTACCGGGTCTACCAGAAGCAGGAGGGGCTGCTGGCCTCGGTCCGCGGGTTGATGCACCGCGAGTACCGAGACGTGCACGCCGTGCGCGGCATCGACTTGGACGTGCAGGCAGGTGAGTTTATCGCTTTCCTCGGACCCAACGGCGCCGGCAAGACCACCACGCTCAAGCTCCTCTCGGGCGTGATCAATCCTACCGAGGGCGAGGCCCTGGTGATGGGGCACGTGCCCTGGCAGCGGGCGAACGAGTACCGCCGCCGGTTCGCGTTGGTGATGGGTCAGAAGAACCAACTATGGTGGGACCTGCCCGCCGCGGAGTCGTTCCGGCTGCACCAGCAGATCTACCGTATCCCGCCAGCCGACTTCGACCGCACCCTCGACGAGCTGAGCGATCTGCTCGACGTGCGTCGGCTGCTGAATCAACCGGTCCGCGAGCTGTCGCTCGGCGAGCGGATGAAGATGGAGCTCACCGCCGCCCTGCTCCACTCACCCGAGGTGCTGTTCCTCGACGAGCCCACCATCGGCCTGGACGTGGTTGCGCAGCACAAGATCCAGGAGTTCCTCAAGCACTACCAGCAAAGCCGCAACGTCACGATCCTGCTGACCAGCCACTACATGAAAGACGTCGCGGCCCTGTGCCGGCGGGTCGTGATCATCGCCCAGGGGCAGATCATGTATGACGGGTCGCTGAGCGGCATCGTCGACCGGTTCAGCAGCCACAAGGTGCTGTCGCTGCAGTTTGGCGACGACCCGATGCCCAGTGACCTGGCCCGCTTCGGCGACGTGCTGGAGATCGTCCCACCCAAGGCGCGGTTGAAGGTGGAGCGCGACGTGATTGCTAGCGTGCTGTCCCGCGTGCTCGCGGAGTACGCCATCGTCGACGTTAGCGTCGAGGACCCGCCGCTTGAGGAGATCATCTCGCAGATGTTCACCGAGTCGAACGCGGAAGCTACCGAGTCGGTGGCAAGCTGACCGTGGGCTCGGCGCCGCGGCCTATTCCCGCACGCGTCCCCGCTCAAGTTGCCCGAGGAAGTGCCTCAGAACACGCGGACCAAGTCGGGGCGCCTCGTGCTTGACATCCGCGACGGAACCCCGCGTGACCGAATCGACTACTCGGGGTCGGGGTGGCTGAGCTCGTATTTTGCGAAGAGGTACCCCAACTGGGCGGCCGACTTCGCGCCCAACTTGCGCATCAGCTTCTGGCGATGCAGCTCCATCGTCCGCAGGGCAATGCCCTGCTTTTTGGCGGCGGTGCGATTAGACGCCCCGTCCGCCAACAACCGCATGAGCCGCAATTCGTCTGTGGTGAGAGAAACCATTTGTGCCTCCACCTGAAGTATAGAACACTTTTCGTCGGAGCCCAGAATACGGCTCTAACCGGCGCAATCGGACTGCCGTAGAACCGGGCGCCCGAAAGCACAAAGAGGTGGCCGCGGGGGGACTCGAACCCCCACGGGGGTTACCCCCCGGCAGATTTTAAGTCTGCTGCGTCTGCCAATTCCGCCACGCGGCCGCTGCGAGGCAAGCGGCTATCATAGTCCAATCGGGCCCGGAACACAGGCGTGAAAAACTCCTCTACCGCCCGACAGGTGCGGGCGGATAGAATCCGCCAGCTCCCCCAAACCATCTTGGCCCCCCACCCATCACCATGCTTGCCCAGATCGATTTCCCAGGTCCCGAGGGTTTTCTCGGCACCCGGGCCTCGCTGATGCTGGACGTTGTGGTGATTGCGATGGCCGTGGTGCTGGCGGCCATGGCCTGGAGCATCCTCCAGGCGAGGCGCGGCCGGTTCGCGGTGCACAAGTGGACGCAGGTCGGACTGACAACCGCCCTGGTCTTGACGGTGCTGGCTTTCGAGATCGAGATGCGGATGTACGGCTGGGAGGAACGCTCGGCCGGCCAGCTACAGGGCGACGCGTCGCCGCTGGCGTGGCGGGTGCTGTACGTGCACCTGGTGTTCGCCGTGAGCTCTTTCGTGCTGTGGCCTACCGTTGCCCTGCTGGCTCTGCGGAGGTTCCCCCGCCCGCCGGCGCCGAACGAGCACAGCCCCAGCCACCGGTTCTGGGCCCGCCTGGCGGCGATTGACATGACCCTGACCACCCTTACCGGCTGGACGTTTTATTACGTCGCGTTTGTCAGGCAGGGGTGAACGGCTATTTAGCCGTCGACGGGTCCGGCGGAGCCCCACCCCACAAGGAAGCCAGTAAGGCGAGCCGCGGGGACGGCTCGGCGGCCGCCGTGCGGATCTGTTCAAGATGCTTCGCGCACTTGCCGCAGCGATCCAGGTGCCGCTGGATCCGCACTGTTAGCTCTGACTCGCAGTCACCGCTGGCGTAGTCGGCCAGATGGATCCCGACCTCGTGGCACGCGATCGGCGCCACCTTTGATTGACCGAAGCCGTTCATCGCAAGGCCCACCACCAAAACTACCGCAGCGCAAGCGGCCATCGTAACCGCGGCCACCTTGGCCATGCTGGGCGACTGTTGGCGGCGCAGCCGCTCGCAGAGCGATTGCAGCTGCCCGGCCTCGCACGGGGCCCACGTATCGGTGTCTTTAGATTGGCGGTTCATGCCGAAACTACACGGTTAAGAGGAACAGAAGGGGCTCGGATTCGACGAGTGCGACGCCTTGCACTCAGTCTCGATTATCGGCCCTGCCAGGGTAGCGGACTGTGCGGCGGCTTACGGTCGGCGCAATCTTGGACGCTAGGTGGAGGCCCGGTCCAGGCAGGGCCGCAGCGGCGGCTTGCCGGTCAGCCCCTTCTCAGGCAGGCGGACCTTTTCTCTACCCACCGCCCGCGCGATGCGGCACGGGTTGAGCAGCACGACCCGGCGCCGCCCGCCGCCGACGTCGCCGGCGGACTTGAGCTCGCCCATCAGCACGGTGACCGACTCGCGGGTGCTGCCAATCAGCCCGGCCAGGTCTTGGTGAGACAACCGCACCCGCAGCTCAACCCCGTCCTCGGTCGGCGATCCGAACTGCTCCGCAAGGTCCAGCAGCAGGTGGAGCAGGCGCTCGCGGTTCGACCGGAACAACAGGTTGCGAAGGCGCCGTTCGATGCGCTGCCGCCGCAGGCCAACCAGCCTGGTCACCGCGATGGCCAGGTCCGCATGCTCGGACATCAGCGTGCGGACCTCAGCCGCCGGCATCGCCACCACGGACGACCGCTCGACGGCCTCGACGTGGTCGTCTCGGTCGGCCTCATTGAGTATCGCCAACTCGCCAAACAGCTCACCCGGCTCGATGTAACCCAGGATCGACTCCCTACCGTCGCCGCTGACATGAGACACCTTCAACAGGCCCTCGGTCAGCAAGAAGACACTGTCGGTAGCCTCGGAGGGGAGCAGCAGCGGACTGCGCGGCGCGAAAGTTCGGCGTGTGCTCTGCGACTCGAGCCGAGCCAGCTGTTCGACGGAGAGTCGTCGAAAAAGATCGCTCTGCTTGAGCCACCAGAGGGATTCTGTCATCTCGCATTCCTTGGTCTACCAGGAAACGGCCACTGGCATTGTAGATCCCGCATGGCGGCGACGCGACTGCCCGGGTCGCCGGTCGCGGTGCTGGGCCCCGGGATCGGAGCCCACACTACGCGGTGACAACAGCAATGGTTCACCCGGGAAACGCCGGGCCGCCCCTCAGGCGGCGGTTTGGTATGGCGGCTCACATACCGCAAAGAATTAGGGGAGGAGACCTCCCCCAAGCCGTCGATTCCGCGGGGGCCCGCGGGGCTCGATGGGCTCAGCCGTCGAGGTCGTCGTCGATCTCTTCGTCCTCGACGCCGTCGATTGCCAGCGGGTGCTCGCTCTTTGGATTCTTGATCCGGATGCTCTTCTTGCCGTCCAGCAAGTCGTTGATGAGGTTGCCGATCAGCTCGGCCCGCCAGCCCTGGGCAAGGGCGGGCGGGTCGCCGTCCTCGGTGCCGTAGCCGAGGTGGTCGGCGATCATGTCTCGGAAGTCGCTGGCGGTGCCGGTTAGGCTGGCGGCGATATTCTTGCCGCGGCACACGCTGGCGATCGCCGGTGACAGGAACTGCCCCAGCAGGTTCAGCTGCGGCGGGGGCGCCGGGCCACGCTTGCGTTTGAACTCATCGAGCGACGCGTCCAGCCCGCGTTGCACGCAGTCGGCAATTTCAGGGGTCACCTTCTTGAGCTGGCCGTACTGCATCCCCCGGATTGAACGTATCCGTTCCGGCTTGGCGTTCTTCTGCTTGGCAAGCTCGACGATCAGGTCGTCGCGCAGCACACGCCGGGGCGGGATGTCGCGGCGTTCGGCCTCACTCTGACGCCATTCCCACAACTCGCGGACGATCGCCAGGTTCCGCGGGCTGAGGTTGCCGATCCCCGACACCTTGCGCCACCGCTTGCGGCTGCGGGCGGCGGTCACCTCGGTGACGAAGGAATGCATCTCCTCTTCGAGCCAGCTCTCGCGGTGATACTTGGCCAGCCGGGCCGTGATCTTGTCGTGAAGCTCGTGCAGGTACCGCACGTCCTCCAACGCGTAATTGAGTTGGTCGTCGGTCAGCGGACGCCGGCGCCAGTCGGTCCGCTGCTCGCCCTTTGCGATCTTGTGCCCCACAAATCGGCTCACGACCGAGCTGTACGCCGCCGGGTACTCATTGCTGCAGAACGCGGCGGCGATCTGCGTGTCGAACAGGTTGGCGGGCGGGGCCCCAACGGAGGTCAGCGAGAAGTTCAACTCCTCACGGGCCGCGTGGGCGATCGTGATGTGGTCTCCCTCGGCCAGCAGACTCCAGAACGGCGTCATGTCCGCGATGGTCTGCGGATCGATCACCGCCATCAGGTCTTCCGACGCGACCTGCACCAGGCACAGCTCGGGCCGGAAGGTGTCCTCGGAGACAAACTCGGTGTCGAAACCGATCCGCTTGGCCGTGCGGAGCCGCTCCAGCACTTCTGCTAGGTGGGCGTCACTCTTTACGTGTTCGTAAGACAAAAGTTATTTGGTCGAGTATGCGGATGCCTGAAGGCCTGACAAACCCGGATTATGCCCAACGCCGCGTTTCTTAGGAAGAGCCGACCCGCGGCCGTCCCCCAATTCGTCGCGGCGGGGACGGTGTGAATCTAGAACGTTCGCCACGCGACAAACGCCAGCACGGGCAGCAGTATTAGGCAGCTGTACCCCATGTAGCCGAAGAAGCTGGGCATCTTGACGCCTGATTTCTCGGCGATCGCCTTGACCATGAAGTTGGGGCCGTTGCCGATGTACGTCATAGCCCCCATGAACACCGCCCCCAGGCTGATGGCGGCCAGCGTCTGCGGGTCAACGCCGGCGGTCGCGCCGCCCACGCCGGGCGCCTGCGCGGTCTTGAAGAAGACCAAGTAAGTCGGCGCATTGTCCAGCACGCTGGAGAGTCCGCCGGTCACCCAGAAGAACCTTTGGGGGGACTGCAGGTAGTTGGTGGCCAAGTGCTCACCGTTGAGGCCCAGGATCTGCAACGCCGGCTGCATGCAGATGAAGATGCCGATGAACAACGCGGCGACTTCTTGGATCGCGTGGTAGTTGAACGTGTTCGCCTTGCGGACCGCGTTCGAACCCAGCGCCAGGGAGAGCCCCACCAGGCCGAGCTGCACCATCTCGCGGAGGTAGAGCCACGGGTGCCAGTCGGTGCCCGGCACCGTCTTGGACGGGTCGAGGAACGCGACCGCGGCGACCACCCCCAACAGCAGCGGCCCATTGAGCCCCAGCCCCATGTACTTCATGTGGCGGATCTTGCGGATGTCTCGGGTGATGTCCGCCTCGGTTTCGCGCCGGTAGTAGACGATCTCGTCGAGCAGCAGGTAGACCACCAGCAGCAGCCCGTTGCACAGCAACCAGGCCGGCCACAGCTCTAAGGTCCAGAAGAAGTTGACGCCCTGCAGGTACCCAAGGAACAGCGGCGGGTCGCCAATCGGCAGCAGGCAGCCGCCGCAGTTGCAGACGATAAAGATGAAGAACACGACCGTGTGCACAACATGCTTGCGTTCGCTGTTGGTCTCTAGCAAGGGTCGGATAAACAACATCGCCGCGCCGGTCGTGCCGATAAAGCTGGCAAGCAGGCCGCCGGCGCCCATGAAGATGGCGTTGGTCATCGGGTTGGCCTGCAGGTCACCCTCGATGCGGATGCCGCCGCAGATGGTGTACAGGCTGAACAGCAGCACGATAAACGGCACGTATTCCTGCGCGACCGCGTTGCCCATAATCGCGGTGATCTCTTCCCAGTTGAAACCGGTGGCGTCGAAATCAGCCACGTAATGCGCCGGGAAGTGCCCCTCGATGGGCATCTCGTGCAGGAAACCGTAGTAAGCGAGCGTCAGCATGCCGAGGACAGCCGCCAACTGAAACCGGTGCAGGTTCGACTCCCACCAGTGCTCGGTAAACGGTATCAGCGGCAGAATGGCGATGGCGCCCAGCAACAGGATAAAGGGGATCACGGTCCACACCGGCGGGGCGACGATATTCGCCTCGGCTCCATGCCCAGCAGCCCCGGCCGCGTCGTGATGGTCGCCCTCGACAGCGTGGGGGGTCGCGTCGTGGCTGTCGGTAGCGTGCCCGGCAGCGCTCGCAACGATGAGAGAAGTCGCCTTCTGAGGTAGTCCTGCAATCAGCGCGCCAACATAGACGACCGTGAGCAACACAATCGCAGAGACAACCTTGCCGCCGCCACCGGCTGCGTGGTGAGACTCGTTAGACATTTCCAACTTCGATCCATTTGTAAGACTCCCCCAAACTCTCCAGATGGGAGTTCTGGTTAAAGGTAGCGGTCGGTTTGGCATTCGTCTATCGGAGTTGCCCTGACGCCGAGTTGGGTCAGGTGGGTCAATATCCTTGGCGTTTCAGCCAGCCAAGCTTAGGCCCCAACTAAACGTCCATCGTTCATTGGAGGCGCGGTGCGTAGATTCGATCCCACCGTTCAACCTTCCCCACCGCTATAATCGACACCACCGCCATCCTTACTCCGGGAACCAAGACTTGTGACGTTGCTTGACTGGAATCCTCAACCGCTGAGCGTGCTGGTAAGCGTCCGCTCGGTCGAAGAGGCCGCTGCGGCCATGACCGGCGGGGCGGCGGTGATCGACGTCAAGGAGCCTGCCCGCGGTCCGCTGGGCAGGGCCGACGCGGCCGTTGTGCGGGAGGTTGCTGGCCGGGTCGCCGGCCGCCGCCCGGTGACCGCGGCCGCGGGAGACCTGGGCGAGTTCGGCCCCGCCGAACTCGCCGCTTGGGCAAGCGATTCAACCGCCCGCCTGGTCAAGGTCGGCGTGGCGGCGCCGCCGGAGCCAGACGTGCTCGCGCAACTCGCCGCGGTGCGGCGGGCGCTGCCGCCCGGCGTCTCGCTGGCGCCGGCACTGTACGCCGACCGCTTCGACTCGCCCCCGCGCCTCGCCCAGCTCAGCGACCTGCGGGGCGTCTGCGGCGGCAAGTGGATGGTGATCGACACGGCCGACAAGTCGGGCCCGGCGCTGACGACTGTCTGGAGCCGCGATCAACTGTCGCAGCTGATCTTCGACGCCGGCCAGGCCGGCCTCAAGCTCGTGGTAGCGGGCAGCCTTTCCGCGTCGGACATAGAAGACCTGAGCGCCCTCAAACCAGCCGTCCTGGGCGTCCGCGGGGCCGTTTGCCAAGGCGGTCGAGCGGGTACGGTGTGTCAGCAGCTGGTCGCGAGGGTCGTCGACGCAACGTCCACCGCGCGAGTTTCAAACACCCCTCGCCGGTCGCCGTCGCCGCGGACGACGGCGGAAAAAACTTGACATCCGCATCGCAATCCCGATACTCGGCGGTAGTGGTGTGACCAACAGAGCCACCCCGAACCTCACAGGGCGTCGTCGCTTGCCCGGTGTGGATCGAACCTTTTCAGCCAGGCGGCCGGCTCTGTTGCAGCGGTTTCTAGGCCGCGATGCCATTGTTGAAGCAGCCCGGTCTCAACCGGCGTTTTGACGGCTCCGAGGCACGGGACGCCGAGGACTTTAGGAGAGGGATCCTCAGGATGGCGCACGGCGGCCGTGGGCGCGGGATCGGACAGTCCGGCCCTGGGCGCGGCCGCTATAATTGAGAGGGCAACTGCTGTGCAACGTTCTGTTCTAGATGCGATTCGAGACGGTGATTGGGACTTCGAACCCGACGAGATCAGCGATGCGGTGCACGCCGCAACCGTTGCCCTGCCGGGCACGCGGGAGAAGATTGGCATCCTCGCGGACCGGGCCGAGCGTGGTTTGCCGCTGTGGCACGGCGCCGATCGGCTGACCTACGAAGAGGCGCAGGACGCCGCTCGGTTCAGCGAGAGCTGACGTGTCGAAGGCGGCTGATCCCGCGGGGGCGGGTCCGGCTCCCCGCGGCACAGCCGCCCGTTAGCTTCAGCATCGGGTTAGCAACCACGCCGGGCTCACACGGGTGCACGGCCGTTGCGTGGCCTACCGAGCCGTCCGGGCCTGCGGTACACTGACGACCCGTTCGTCATTACCGGCCCCTCTCGACGGTTCGCCCGATGCCTCAGTTCGACGTCACAGTTCCCCACGGCCAGTCCCAGCAGGACGCGCACGAGCGTCTGAAGAGCTTTTCGGAAAAGGTCCGCGAACACTACGCCGACATGGTCAAAGACGTCGAGCAGCAGTGGGAGGGCGACACCCTCCACTTCGGCTTCAAGACGATGGGCATTGGGATCAATGGCGACCTCACGGTTAACGAGAACGACGTTCACGTCCGCGGCGACCTGCCCTTCACCGCCATGATGTTCAAGGGCAAGATCGAGTCGGCCCTCCGCGACGAAATCACCCGTCTGCTGGGCTGATCAGCCCGGAAGAGGATTCTCTCATAGCGCGTGTCCGGTCGTGCCGATCACGACGGATGTACGCGAAGCTCGTGCCGATTGGTGACGTTCGATCGCCGCTGCGCTCAGCTTGCCGCACCGCTGGTTGACTGCCCTAGGAAGCGACCTAGGGTTCGTTGACCAATACTGCGGCGCAGGCGTGGCCACCTCCCGGCCAGACGTTCCTCAGCGCCTGCCTACGCGAGGAGCTTCGCAAGATGAGTACACGAGTCCTAGTGGCCGACGATTCGAGCACGATGCGGAAGATCATCCTCCGCTCGCTGAGCACGGTGGGCGTGTCGAGCGCCATCGAGGCCGCCGACGGCGCAGAAGCCATCGAAGCCTTCAAGCCCGGTGAGTTTGACTTGGTCCTGACGGACTGGAACATGCCGCGGAAGAACGGCCTTGAGGTGATTCAGGAGATCCGCAAGCAGGACTCTAACGTCACGATCATCATGGTCACGACCGAGGCCGAGAAGTCGCGCGTGCTGGAGGCTATCCAGGCGGGCGTCTCGGACTATTTGGTCAAGCCGTTCACGGCCGACACGCTCCGCGAGAAGCTCGAGAAGCACGGCTGCTAATCGGGCGGCGATGCGTCTCTGGCGCCAACCGAAAACTTGGATCAAGAAACGAAAAGGCGGCTGCCCAGCTGGGCAGCCGCCTTTCTTACTTAAGTGCTTTGACGCAGAGTCTGACCAATAGAAAACTAGCGTCCAGCATCCCCAGACCAGCACCTAACTGGCGTACTCAGCGCTGAAGAACTCCTTGCTCTCGTCGATCGAGGGCTTGATGGTCCGGGCACCTTCTTTCCAGTTGGCGGGGCAGACCTCGCCGTTCTTCTCAAAGTACTGCAACGCCTCGACCATGCGGAGCGACTCGTCGACGCTGCGGCCGAGCGGCAGGTCGTTCACCACCTGGTGACGCACCACGCCGTCCTTGTCGATCAGGAACAGGCCACGCAGAGCGATGCCGCCGTCGAGCAGCACGTCGTAGTCGCGGGCGATCTGTTTGCTGAGGTCGGCCACCAGCGGGTAGGCGGTCTTGCCAATCCCGCCCGCGTCGCGGGAGGTCTGCGTCCACGCGAAGTGCGAGAAGTGGCTGTCGACCGAGCAGCCGATGATCTGCACTCCCTTCTCTTCAAACTTGGCCGCCGCGTCGGAGAACGCAATGATCTCCGTGGGGCAGACGAACGTGAAGTCAAGCGGGTAGAAGAACAGCAGCACGTACTTGCCGCGGTAGTCCGAGAGCTTCAGCTCCTTAAACGTCCCGTCCGGCATGACCGCCTGAGCGGTGAAATCGGGGGCTTCTTTTTGGACGAGAACGCTCATCGGGGGAACCTCTTGTATGTGGTTTCGGAAGGGATTCTTGGTAGGTGGGCCCGGCAAGCTTGGCCCGTTTGGTTTGTTATACGAGGCTCAAGTTGACCCACAAGGGGTTGCCCAACGCATAGCTGCCATGCGTCACGTGCATCGACCGGTGGGACGCGGCAGCGTGGATTGCAGTGCTGAGGACCGGCCTACCAGTCAACGCCGCGTCGCCGCAGCTCGTCGGCCAGCTGCGCGGCCGAGGTGAACTGGACCGCGTCGACCCCGCACGCCAGCGCCCCCTCGACGTTGTCCGGGCGGTCGTCCGTGAAGAACAGCTCTCCCGGCTCGCACCCCGCCCGCTCGGCGGCCAAGTAATAAATGCTAGGGTCCGGCTTCATCGCCCGGGCGTCGAAGCTCGTGACGTGCAGCTCGAACGCGGCGTTGAGCTCGGGGAATCGCCCGTCGGTCAGGAATGGCCAGTGCACCGCGTTGGTGTTCGAGAGGATCCCCAGCCGGTGGCCCGCCGCCGCCAGGGCGGTCACCAGTTCCATTGACTCTGGGATCGGCTCGAAAATGTCGCTGCAGGCGAGCTCCAACTCGGTGCGGTCCGGGGAGGCGCCGGTCGCCTCGCAGAACCACGCGAAGTACTCGTCGGGCGTGAGCTGACCGCATTCAAACCGCCACTGCACGTCCGCGGGCGTGCCGGTCGCAAGGGCCGCCTGGCGGACCACGCCTTCGCCCACCCCAGCGGCGGCCGCCATCTGCCGGACCATGCGGTCGTTGCAGAAACGGATGAGGACGTTGCCGAGGTCAAAATACAGAAACTTGGGTGTCATGGCGGCCATTCTACCGCCGCGAGCCCATTCCATCACTGGGCGCCCTTACGCGGCTCGGCGGGGCCGCCGTTGATCGGTCCAGTCGACCACCCGATCGCTGGCCCACTCCAGCCGCCGGTGCGAGAGCCACCCCAGGTACCCGCCCGCCACCAGCGCAGCAAGGAACATCCGCGGCCGGTAAAACACCAGGTAGCCCAGCAGCTGATTCACGCCACGGCCCACAACTCCCCAGACAGTGGCGGCTTCGGGGAGCAGCGCCACGCGCGGAATCTCGTCAGGCAACGCGTCGGCCACGCCCAGCCCGCTGGCGTATCGCCAGTTGGTCAGCACCCGCAGTGCTTGGTCGGCCGGCAGGCGTCCGCCGTGCAGGCGGG